AAAAAAAAAAAAAAAAAAAAAAAAGGTCCTCTGAAACAAATAATGCAGTTGTTTGCCGTGACTTTCTTTGGTACATAAAAGATGTCACTGTAAAATTTTTTTTTCATGATACTATAGGTTAAGTTCTTTTAAGTGAGCAACACTATCCTAGTTGGAAGCTTATCAGGGATTCATCAGTGGAGAAATACTACCCTTTTGATAATACATGTAGTGAAATTACTTGAAGTGTTTAAACTTAGGTCTTGTTTATTAAACATGAGTAGAGATTTCAGGCATCCTTGTAAACTTCCTTCGTTTCAAACCTTGTTCATAAATTGTTGAGAGGCATGTGTCACAATGAAACTTTGGCCTCTTTAGGTTTGGGGTGCTCTAGCTCAGACATAAAGAACAATACACAACAGTTGTCTGAAGTTCATTTTTATAACTTGTATTTGTTATCTTAATCTAAAGCTTTAGTTTCATTGAAAATGAACAGGCCATGACTTTTTTTTTTTTTTTTTTTGAGATGGAGTTTCACCCTTGTTGCCCAGGCAGAAGTGCAGTGTGCGATCTCAGCTCACCACAACCTTTGCCTCCTGGGTTCAAGCAATTCTCCTGCCGCAGCCTCCCAAGTTGCTGGGATTACAGGCATGCACCACTACACCTGGCTAATTTTGTATTTTCAATAGAGACAGGGTTTCTCCATGTTGGACAGGCTGATCTTGAACTCCCAACCTCCGGTGATCCACCCGCGTCAGCTTCCCAAAGTGCTGGAATTATACGGGCATGAGCCACCACTCCTGGCTGAACAGGCCATGACTTTTACCAAATTCTCCCAGCCTTCCCTTATCTAATGTACCACCTTTTGGAAACAACTAGGTAGCTGTTAATGGGCAAAATAATTCACTAACAACAGTTAACTCAAAATCATTGTTTTGACATCCAAATCCAAAAGCCTTGTTACTGTTTCTGATGTTAAATCACACTACAGAGTTTTGAGAAAGTTGGTAATATTGCAGTTCATTTAAAGAAAATGTGGGTAAATCTCCTTTCTGGTTTATTTAGCTTATTCTTCTAACAATTTTTTTTTGAATAGAAAATATTCCTGTGTGGATGATTCATGGTCCCCTCTTTTCTCCCTGCCTTCCACCTTTTAGATCATGAATCGGTTCAGTGGTGTTATGACAACTTCATTAACTACAGGTCCCTGATGTCCGCAGACAATGTACGCCAGCAGCTATCTCGAATTATGGACAGATTTAATTTGCCTCGTCGAAGTACCGACTTTACAAGCAGGGACTATTATATTAATATAAGAAAAGCTTTGGTTACTGGGTATTTTATGCAGGTATGTAGATACTACAGGAATGAATAATTGAATATTCACATGACACCGTTTGATTTCTATTACAGTCCTTTAAATCCACTCAAAAGCAAAAGTGAGTTTATGCATGCTCATAAAAATTAATCTTAAATGTTGTTAAATCTAGTTTCTTTGAATGAATTAATATACTAAGAAATTTTAAGTATTTAATGAGTAACTAGTTAATGTACTAAATGGCTAAGGTAGTAGTCTAGTTATACAGGAATCTGTTTTAGAATTATTTTATTAATAGAGCCTTTGTTATACAAAATGGAAACTTTGGCTACTTTCAGATGACATTAGGCACGTGTTTTTTCTGGAATGCGAATATTGATCAGTGCATTAAAGTTTCTTTGAATCTAGGTCTTAATTGGAAATACACTGTCATAACAGAGTACTAAAAGGAAGGAATTGTCTGAGAGGATCCAAAAGTACATACATTTGGCTTTAGTCTTTAGAAACTAAGCACCTTCAAATTCAAATATTCAAATACGCGGATTTCATTTATAGTCCTCAGCAGAGTGAAAATTGATAATTGTTATGACCAAGACCCTGACATACTGCAAACACCAAAAATGTCTGTTGAGTTAAGCAATAAAGATGAAACATAATTTAAAAGGTTTTATTTAAGTGTGCCGTATTAACAGCTGTAATAACAGAAGTAAAAGTTGTCAAGTAGATATTGCAAACAATTATTTTCAGGTGTTTAAAAGATAAGAGAAACTTTGAGAAAAACACTAGAAAATTTTGTGATGATAAAATTGAAAACAAATAGTTCATCATTTGACTTGGGATAGGTCTCTTCTGTTTCTTTCCTGTTTGTTCATTCTCTCTTTGGCTATATCTGTTAAGGAAGAGATGGCTTACCTTAAGGCCACATGGGCTCAGTAGCTAGAATATGAGCCTAAAGACACTCAGTTTCAGAGTCAAAAATCAAGATTGATGAGATGTCTGTATTTGAATCTAAGTAATAGTAAGAATGTTTATTGTGGCATCTTATATTACCTTAGGCTTATTAGAGTTTGGTGAGTAATAGGCGTGAACATTTCTTTCTCAAAACTCTTAACTATATTCTTAGTATTTATTTTATATGTACTAGCTTTTTTTGACATGTTCTTTTCTTTTGCGGGGAAGGGGGTGCGGTAAGGTAGGGGAGGCAGGGTCTCACTCTGCTGCCCAGGCTGGAGTGCAGTGACTTCATCTCAGCTCACTGAATCTCCCAGGTTCAGGTGATTTTCCTGCCTCAGCCTGCCTAGTAGCTGGGATTACAGGCACCCACCACCAAGCGCAGCTAATTTTTGTATTTTTAGTAGAGATGAGGTTTCACCACGTTGGCCAGGCTGGTCTCGAACTCCTGACCTCAGGTGATCCACCTGCCTCAGCTTCCCAAAGTGCTGGTATTACAGGCATGAGCCACCGCACCCAGCTTTAGTTTTCTACCTTAGACATGCATTTTCTGGTAATTGTTTATCTACTCATAGATGGCACCCTGTGCTGAAGAGCCTGCTATAGATGGTCTAAGGCAGGAAAGATCAGATAGTAAATGTTGAGCTCTGTGGACCCATGAGATCCCTGTCAAAACTACCTGACACTGCCTGCCCTTGGAGCATAATAGCAGCTGTAGACAAATGGGCATGCGTGTGTTCTAATAAAACTCTCCTTCTGGACCCTGAAGTGTGAATTTTACATGCTGTTCATGCTTCACGAAATGTTTTTCATATGATTTTTTTTCTTTCTAATTTTTTAAAGATGTAGAAATTATTTTGAATTCACCTTACAAATAGAGGCTATGAGTTGGATTTGGCCCACAGGCAGCAGTTTGTTTATTTCTGCTTTTATCAGGCAGTGATAAATAAGTAGAACTATAGAATGAAAAGTAAAAAGGTAGGCCTGCCTTTCCTAATTATGTAGGTAGCTTTACAACTAGCACATCAGAATCATTGTATTAATGATATGCTTGATTTTGGTTTCAGGTGGCACATTTGGAACGAACAGGGCATTACTTAACTGTGAAAGATAACCAGGTGGTTCAGTTGCATCCCTCTACTGTTCTTGACCACAAGCCTGAATGGGTGCTTTATAATGAGTTTGTTCTAACAACAAAGAATTATATCCGGACTTGTACAGATATCAAGCCAGAATGGTAAGTACACCTTTTGTTCTAATAGTTTTTTGTTAATATTTTACTCAAAATGGAACCTGACTGCTGGTCATGACTAGAGTCATGGCCTTGTGTTCACTCGTTAAGAATGTATAATTCGGTGTGTAGGTATGAGGGAATTGACTGGATGTTTTGTTAATCTTTCATACCCTTTTGATAAGTGGACAGTGGAATTGCTGATATTTATGGACAGGATTTGAAGCCAAATGTAAAGTTACATTTGAAGAGCATGAAAAGTTTCTTTAGGGGCCAGGCATGGTGGCTCATACCTATAATCCCAGGACTTGGGGAGGCCAGGGTAGGAGGATCACTTGACGCCAGGAGCTCAAGACCAGCCTGTACAATCTAGCAAGACCTCATCTCTAAAAAATATATATTGATGTGTACAAAAATTAGCTGGGCATGGTGGTGCTGCACACCTATAGTCCAGCTACTGGAGAGGCTGAGGCAGGAGGATTGCTTGAGCCCAGGAGTTTAAAGTTGCAGTGAGCTGTGATCAGTATTCTAGGCTGGATGACAGAGTGAGACCCTGTCTCTTAAAAATATTTTTTAAAAAGGTTTTTTTTTAAAAAAAAATGTAGAGTTTTTTTGGAGCCATTCTCTTGCTATTGTGATTATGTCAAGTCAATACTGTTTCTTGTTTGCAGAAGTCAGCTTTTTTAAAAAACATTTTATTTGTCCCATTACAATTAGCTCTCAACTATTTATTATTTATATATTGGTTTTTAGGAACTGTGCAGGCATAAAAATAATAACTCTTTGTGTTTTAACATATTAGCTTTTACAAAATGTAATCAGAACGGATTGTTTTAAGTAAAGTAACCCCCACATGGTTTTTTAATTTGTTTTATTTATGCCAGAATCTATTCTGTAACCTGTGATGGGAAATGTCGGCCAAGAGTAGTGGGACTGAAGGCACTTATTCTAGGTGCTGTCACTGCTTTTATATTGTACAGCTGCTTTCTCACACAGATTTGGGACTTTTAACAAACTGTGTAGGATATTACCATTTTATCTTAAATGCTTTGTTGAGAAAAAATTGCACAGCTAAACTTTATAAAGATTTCAGTCAAGTGTATTTTGGGGGTATAGAGTTATATTTATAGTTATTAAAGCATTGAAAACACATTGAAAATGAGAAGATCCAATCATTTGAATACCATGATGTTCTCTACACAGAACCTGTCTTATTACTGTATCCTTGGAGAGGCAAGTTAAAATAGTGTGCCAGAGTAAAGAAATCAGTGACTTTATATGTTATCTTTACATCAGTGTATCCTGAGGGTTCTTTTTTAAAAGTTTATAGTAAGTCCAACATCGGAAAATTTACATCTTACTAAATAAAATACTTAACACATTTCTAAAAGTGCTGTTTGTAAGGATTAGTAATTTGTATTTTTATGAGACTTGAATTCGTAGATTTGCCTTGGTTCTGTATATTAATGAATAATGCCTATCCTGTTAACAACTCCAGAACTTTAATTAAATGTTAATTTGGTAATTTTCCCCCCTTTCTAAACAGGTTGGTGAAAATTGCCCCTCAATATTATGACATGAGCAATTTTCCACAGTGTGAAGCAAAGAGACAGTTGGACCGCATCATTGCCAAACTTCAATCCAAGGAATATTCACAGTACTGAATTCAGTGCTTAGAACTGAAGCTATTCAGAGGACAG